ATAATTCTACTTTTCGTCTTTACTTAAATAATTTATTTATAGGTACAAAAAAATATTTATGTTTATTCTATAATCTACGCTAATAAATAGGCTTTATAAAAATATAAACATGTATCTTATTCAGAAAACAAACTGAGAAAATTAAGAATAATAAAATATCCCTAGACGATGTTGATGTGTGTATAAGTCAATGAGTTTAATAACTAGAGAAGCAATTCCATACAACAGACGCGCCAAAAAGCGTAGCACTTTTCCGAAATCAGGACGTAGCTTTGCAAATAATATTTATATTATATAATATAAATAGGTTTATTATATTTGTCTCCTACGATTAAACTTTAAATTAAACAAAGACAGAATATGTGCGAACGATATAATGAACGGAAAAATGGGTAATTGATATTGTATTGCCAGCTGTCGAAAATTTCACCCATTATGATGATTGCATAAATGAACGAGTAATGTAGATAATATATGTATAAAATCAATTAGATATATGTAATGAAAACTGTAACTTTGAAAATTTCTTTGAAAAAAACAATCACGAAAGTAGGCTCTGTGCATATAAATCGAATCGTGTTTAAGACAAAAACATTTGTCAAAGTTCATAAAACATCAAACAAAGATTCAATTTTACGTATTTTCAAAAGTTGTATCTCGACAACCAACGGATTCGACGCCTTGAAAAAATTAAATTAACTTTAAAAAATTAAACCACTTTTGCATCTTTGTGCATGTATGATAAAATTAGCAACATAGTTTGCGCAGTTGCCTATACTAAAGCTAAGCTAAGCCATATAATCAATTAAAAGAAGATATTTAGATAAATTATAGCCACGTTAAATAAAAAGAAAAGACTCCCATATAGTTGGGAAAATAGAAAGTGAATAGCAGTGGCAACACTGACGACAAAATGTCAAATTATTATTTGTAAAAAAATTAAATATATTTATTTTATAAACTTTAATTTTGATTTTATTGGCAAAAATGTTAATGACTTAAGTGTGAAACTTAATATTATTTCGTATTATGTGTACTTGTGAGAAAGAGTCGTATATATATTATCCACTGTTTTTCTTCCTTTTTGCGGAGCATTTTTTTAGTACTTTCTCGGCGGGAGTTGAATGAGTATTGAAGTGAAAAATGAAAAAACTAAGACAAACGTCTTAGTTTTAGTAGCTTCAGATTTTATGGTATGTATTGCGTATCTAGACATATTAATATCATTGGTATAAGTATTGTTTGCGGAACTCTCTGCGCGTGAATACCACTCGCTCTTACCCGGTTTTCTTTGGTTACTAAACCTTTTATCGTCATGGGAATAAACACTTTTACGCAAAAAAAAAAACGAAATGAGTTTACTAGCTTATTAGTATCCACTAAGATGATGCTAATACTTCAAAGATACTGCGACGTAACGTTGTCTGCCGTCATAGTGACGAGACATTATAATGACCAACTCATAACTATATTTGGAATTAAGATATATATATATACTCGTAATTGGGGTTACGATCATTTATCCCCAAATAGAATGTGAAACTAATCATGTTATATTTTCTATTCCAAATTAAAAAAAATACATAACCTGATAATTTATTTATTTCTTTATCTTTATACATTGGACATTATTAATAACCGTCCATCCACTAACGGTTAAAAAATTAAGACTTTGTGTTTTTAAGTTTGGCGGAAAATATTTTTTTAATAGGTATTTTTGCCACATATGGAGAATAAATAAAAAAATAAAATTATAGTGTGATGGAACAAATGAAATGATTATGGGTATAAAGATTTTTTTATATTTAATGTTAATTACTTTTAAAGCTTTTTAGTACACTTAAAAAAAGGAGATTGTAGATATGATTAATATTCTTTAAAACTGCACAAATTTTATATTATGCCATCGTATGTCTGTATGTGTCTCCCAAACTAAACATTGAATCACAATAATTATCTTCTTTGGTTAGTTAGTTTTTAACTGAGAGCATAAATTTCATCAAAATCGAATAATTAGTTATGTAGGTGCATAACATAAAAAACTGACTTCAGAAATGCAGAAATAAAAGTAAAAATAATTATACATTTTTATAGGAGTGAAGTGGTTAGTTCTAATAAGTCTAGATAGAACCACTGCACGAGCATACTAACTTGAATTTATTTTCACGTTTATGAAATTGGAATATTTTTTTAATATTTTATTTGTGGATTTCGTACTTATTTCATTTGTATATTTTAAACGGCAAGATTAATCATAAAAGAGGAACGGTAGTGGATGGCATACTATAACCCTCAACCTATCATTATTAACGTAGATCTAAATAACTTGTCTGTCTGGCGTAATATGAAATAAAATATATTTTCATATGAGTTGAATTTTTATGGTATTAATTTTATCTGGGAATCTACGAAAGGAATAACTACGTGTAAATAGTTTCTCGTTGACTTGCCACAATTTTGATTGCAAAAGTAGATAGATTTGTTAAGTCTATTCCAGGTTTAATAATATTTTGTTTGATATTTACTATATTATACTAAAATAATAATGTTATACTTAAATTAAAAGGGAATATTTACTAGGTATACTTAATTTCATCAAGAGAGAGGTTATTGTATAATACAGATGGAAATTAATAAATATCCAAAATTATGGTCTGATTTTAGAATAACTAAATATAAACAAAAAAATATGTTTGATTAAATAAAACCTACATCAAAAAGTGATCAATATGAAACTTCCATTGAAATCGGGCTGAGGGTATGCTAACCGATTTCATATAACTTATATTTTAACTACCTAACTTCAATATGACATATTTCAAACATATGAACCACATTTAAAATGTGTAAGTTTTCACGTTTTTGGAGTAGCTTATATTTTTTTAACAAAATGTTGTTTTTTGAAGGTAATTAAAAAACAAAAACAGACTTAAAAACTTCAAAAGCTTAAAATGTATACTGTAATGGGCTCCGTTGTATTACATTAAAATAGTTTACAGAAATTTGTCATTTTGAGATAGCCTCATACACATGGGTACAAATTTCTCTATTTAATTTTAAATCATAATGTTACGATGTTAGAGATCACAAACGATCGGAGAAATTTAAAAAATTAACAAAAAAAGCTTTTATTTGTGCGTACTTAAACGTAAACAGTAATTTTATGCAAGACAAGTTAATAACGTTAATGTTAAAGTAATTATAATCAAAATTTTCTCTAACAGTCATTGACTCAATAACGTTGTTGCGCTAATGAAATCCGAGACCAGGATATACACATATTTTTTGTTATATTTTTATTTTTTATTTTTTACTTTTGTTTCTTTTTATTCATTTGTGACATAATATCATCTGTATTGCAAGGTGTTTTTCCTGTTAATTTTACATATGATGTTGATTTTATAAAGACGGATCTAACGAGCCCAAAGACGATGCAGTTTGCAGATTTCTTCACTGAGTTCCTAAGACTACCTTCCAGCTCCCTCATCACCGGACCTCATGTAGATAGCATCCAGTACAAAAGTCCTCATAAAGACGCCTTTAACAAGTCAAAACACGATGCTGTTGCGTCATTACATCACTAAGTTTCTACCTTCCGATTTCATCATCATATCAGCTTACTGACAACATAATATTGCATTGTCATCTAATTTACATGTCTATGAAAAATTTCAAATCTATCGGACATTGGGAAGTGGGTCAAATTTTAGTTCTAAGTTTTGCTTGCGCACTAACATACTAACAAGGCGAGTTAAATAAAGCTTGTTAAAACAGGATAATAGCCCTGTTTGTCCACGAATAAAATTTATAATTTCGATAAAATTATATCCTTAAAAACTATCCGTACATCAAAGGCAATGTGAATCCTACCTTCGGTACATCATAAGTTAGTCTAATCAGCCTTCTGAAATTAGATTAAAATCATTTTCTGAGAAACCGAGTAGGACTTGTTTCTACAGTCACTGTAAGTTGGGTTTGGTTTGTAATAGACCAATGTGGGTTGAAATGCACAGAAATATCTCTATTTCTTGCAATATATAGAATTCCTGCTTAATTGAGTTGCTCTTGACTTGCCAAATATTATAACAATGAAAACTAAAACTTCACATACTAAAACTTTATTAAAAAGAACAAAAACAACGATCAAAATTGACCTTTTAATTACAAATATATGCAAGCGCCCTCACTTTTTTTTATTAAAAAAGCTGTTGGGCAATTTTTACTCGTCTTTATTGTAATTGTTTTATCATCATCACCAGTCAGTTGCACAAGTTTTTATTATTTATCATAACCAAAAAGGAGATATATAATTTAAGACTGGACGTCTATTTCGCAGTTGTTTGTAACTAATTTATATTATTATGCAATAAGCTTTTTTGTTTGGCGTTTGTTAATGCACCTGGAATTTATTATGGCGGAGAATAAAGAATAATATTTCTTAAAATTCCATCTGAAAATTATTTGGCTATTTAAATCATGATTATTACATTAATCGTGTTTTAAAATAGGTATCTCTCTTATTTTTAACTCTTCTTTTTCCATTTTTATAACACATATCGTTCTTTATAAAATCTTACATAATAAGTAGAATAAAGTACGTTGAGATAACTACAAAATTTTAGAGAAATCAGTTTCTTATTCTTATCTTATATTTAATGCCGATTTTATGTAGTAAAAAATGTCAACAATTACTGGTTTTATAACTCGTAAATTTAATAGTTTAGAAATTAAAAAGCCCGACGTATACAAAGATATGTGGTAATTGACTCATTTAGTGTAGTTTTTGGTACGGAGTAAATAAAGCCATCTGACAGTTACTCAAAAAGTACACAAAAAAAAGAATATCTGCGTTAACCACTTGGTAGGTAATTTTTTGTTTAGTAAGTAAGCCAAATTTGGAAAATAACACTTGTATATTATAATATTACACTTCAAACCTATTAAACGATTTCATGTGAAATCGTATTTTTGTAGATATCCGTATGTTCTTTGTGGCCGGTATGATGTAGTACTCGCGTCGTCTCATCAAAGTAAATAAAACAAAATTACACACAATAGAATTTTATTATGTCCTATCTCGAATTGATTTAAATATAATAAAAAAATCAATCGTGATGTATTGGCGAGTGGTCGTGTTTAGGATGTACAACTTTCTTCTCCAAGTCTTGAGTTCGCTTTTTCAACGGTCCATGTTTCCAATTAGATGGATACCCTAACTTGTCCACGTCATCCCACCACTGTTGCTCTCCTGAACCCCAAATCAGATAGACCAAGTTAGTAGCTACTAACACCGCAAACACTGTCCAGAACGCAACACGCCATTGGCCTATGGTTTGCTGAAAAGCATAAACATATCGTGAAAGTTATTCGTAGTCACTCAACCACTTCATATGTGAATTTTAAACTATATTCATTTATTTTCGATACTTATAACGCGACAATAATTATAGTTAAAATATAGGTATATCGTTTTCATATGATGTAATTTTTTTAAACCTGTGTAAAAGTAATAATTTTAATGAAGCAATTGCATAGTCATCAACTTTCAAAAGTGCTCTTAACAGCCTAGACTGAATAAATCATATACAATTTTAATTTATATTTAAACACTTTTTTAAAATTACTACGATTCCAGGATAAATTACTTTCAAAGTCCTAAACTGTTGTATAACTACACTTATTGTTGGTAATTTTCTATATAAAGAGTTCTTTGACTATCATCATTAATTACATTATAACAGGTGTGTAAATAAAATGAATTAATTCTTGAATAACAAGAGAACCTTTTACGATTACAGATGTAGGCAGAGTAGAAGGTATAAAGTAAATAAATATTAACAAAATACATTTTGATAACCTTCATAATCTAGTCACTATTAACTATGTGTATATGTGCGATTAGCCAATTCAAGGTTTTGCTATCAGAGACCTTTCGATTCCCATACAGGTCTGTTTATATTTAACAGTAATTTTGATCAGCATTTATATCTCATAACGTTCATACAAGATTAAAGATCGGGATTATATTTTGAACATTTCTGACATCAATTACCTAAACTAGAATCTAATTAATATGAATGATTGCTAAATATATTTTGAGTTTTCAAATCACAAAATTATAAAAACAATGAGGATATCGTTCTGGAGCTTAAATATAAAAATATGCCTATTAATTATCGACCAGTTACAGAAACGTCCATTAAGGTTTAATGACACCCTTAAATACATGTTAAATTTGTATCGGTAATGTCGCTTAAAACGAATGAATATGTGTGCAACTGGCTTATTACCGATACAAATTTATATATTAACAAATTTATATTAAAAAACTTATCCCTACTGGTAGCGATAAATGGAAATAAAAATCCAAGTATCCCAACCAGTGCAAATCGGTGGAGATATATATGGAGTAACAGATTCCATATATCCCTACCGGTAGCTATAATTGGAAAAAAAATCCTAGTATCCCTACTAGTGGGGATTTGTCAGTAGGGATATGTGGAATAGGGCACAAATTTGACATTCATTAGAGTTCAAAGACGACATTAATTCTTAATGAACGTTTGTGCAACAGACCGTATGTCTATTATTATTAAAAAACTCCTTTGCCTTTTCTCGGTAATCGTTTACGGAAAATCTGTCATGGTTCGTTTTTCAAATGATCTGACAAATTATAACATGAACCAGATCCGATCAATCAACCATCAAATCCTTACTTCCGTTAGGTAACTCTTTAATTTAGAAAAAAATAACAATAGATTCTCTTCCTCAATACAGCAAGTACAGTCTCAATAGAACCACATTGTAATATTCTCGCGTGAAGCATCTAATTACTGGATAATTCATAATTATCTGGTGATCGTATTGTTTTATAAACTATTTTTACACTTTGCAGATTAATTGAAAATATGAAGTAATAGTGACTATTTTAGGATTTACAGTAGTCACTCAGTAATACTTAGCAGTTGGCAAATAATTATTAGCTTTGTTGCCATTGTTTCAAGGTGTCGATGTTATTATAAATATGGATTTAATCCTAGAATCGCTTACATTAAAAGCACAATTATATCGTTAGGTAAATTAATTGTAGTCATGTATGATTTAATAAGGTGGTTAAAAACCATCTTACCTAATTCAAATCCTATTTTCAACTGACTAATAAGAAATTATATAAAAAAATGAATTGCGAACTGGAAATAATGTGTGCCTAAATTCGTAATACGACAATGAAGTTCAAATATTACTAAGGTTTTACTGTTAATTTATTTATTTATTATGACAAGATTAAGCACCAGCTTAATGTTTGTTTAGAAATTTAACGTAGGGAAAGCGGATGATCCAGAGGAGAATCCGGAGCCTTGATCAAGTAGGACATGCTCCGTAATATATGTATATAAAATATCCTTATTCTGTTTACATTAGAGTCTATTTTACATTAGAGCACTCGACAACAAAGCCAACAGTGCAATTTTAAACGGATTTAATAGGAAAGTTTCTCCTACCATATCAAGTCTCCCAAAATTTAATTATTAAAAAAATACATTTTGCATTTTTTTCTCCATAAAAACTTTGACTGTGCCAAAATTCATACTCCTCCAGTTTTATACCATGTAGGTATCAAAATAATAAATTGACGATTACCAAAAGGTTTGCTCGCAAACTTACATCAGGCGTCAACAATCCGACCAAATAGGGCGTGATGATACCAGATATAGCGGCCAATCCATTCACAAAGGCCGAACATGTTCCCGCATAGTTTGGTGCAATGTCCATAGCGTTGATCTTTACGCTACTGTAGAAACCTCCCATAAACGCCATAGATGCTATAAAAAGGCCTACCGCTTGCACTCGGTCGCAGCCGGAATACGAGGCCAGAATTATAAAAAGTGCCGGCAAGGAAGAAGCTGCAAAAAAAACCTTCGCCGTGAACGATTCGTGTATTTCATTGTTTGCTAATTACTTAATCAAGGATTTCGTTTCTTCATTTTAAACTCTTTTAATCTTGTAAGTAAAGACTATGTTATCATAAAGAATATCGAGGATATCAGAAACAGGAAAGTTATACGGAAGATGATTTGTATAAAACTATTCAAGGTTCATATTACATCTTGGACAATCTTAATTGACAATAAACATAAATTTATTCTTTGTACGTTTTTCAGACAGAAAACTAACAGATATTCATAAACGTAATACTCATTTGAATATTCTTCTAATGCAAATGAATGAATGAATGAATGAATGATATTTATTTGTAAGAAAGTGGTCACAGAAACAATGTTAATTATCAAAAAAAGCACACACATTCTGCCAACTTGATCAGCGTACAAATATTTGAATACCTTTAACAATCTAATTAATATTTCTTAATGTCAGATAAAATAAAAAAAAAATCAAAATCATTCCTCGTACATGAATTGTCAAATTCGAAATTATGTCAAAATCTATAATTTATGAAGTCATTAACATTATAATATATTGCACGTCAATTCGATAGCTAATTTTATTACTAAATATACAATATGAACCGATATTAGAATAAATTAATAATGTATGGATACACACAATTCACATGGTAATACTCACAAACGGTTGTATAAATCTTCCTCCCAGTAGTGATACTATGCCATCTCTTTTTGATACACAAGTCGCAAATATATGCAAAAATAAAGGAGCAAACGTACATGGCAACATATGGAAGCGCAGACATTAATCCTGTTTCTTTTATATTAAACTTTAATACGTCGGAGAAGTATTTTGGTAAATCTGTTATCATGGTAAAGTAGCCCCAATCGTGACCCACCTGTAATATTGTAAATTTGAACATTATTTTATTTCAAAATAAATCTATCTTATATACGGTCAGTTGCACAAACGTCCATTAAGGATTGATGGCTCTAATGAATGTAAAATTTGTATGGTTAATGTCGCTTTAAACTAATTACATTTTTAAGGGATGTTTCTGCAACTGGCTGATAGTCTAGTTCATTCGACATCACTGAAATTAAGTGCTTAGTTACTGAAATTTTATAACGCATGCTAAATCTATAACACCAGATAACCAGAGCAAAATAATTTTTTTTTTTCGATGAGAGATATAATGGGGGTATAAAAGAAATTGAATTAAGCACAAAACAATACTTACAGCAGCCAAAACTAACACCCAAAGTTGGGGTGACCTTAGTATAGCCTTAAAAGGAACAGGATCCAATTTCTTATGAAGGCCAGATGCAGTAACATTTTTATTCAAATACATCTTTTCTTCATCTGATATAAATGGATGACAATTCGGTGTACTATAACAGAGGAGAACCTAAAATTCATCGAGATGTCATTGAATTTTATTAGGTGTATTAAGTATAATAAAGATTTTCAACTATAAAATCAACCCTATTATTTCCCATTCAAATGTTTAAAAAAACGATATGGCATTACCTGTCAAAAAAATATAAACAACCTTCCTGACTTACCCAAAATAAAAACCATATGATACCAAGTCCACCAAAGAAATAGAAAACATTTGCCCAATCTCCATTATCTGCCAAGAAAAGACCAGACATATAAGGGCCGAAAATGTTCCCAATTTGTGCACCACCAAATATCATTGCACCAAATCTCGATCTCTCCGATGGTGGTACCCATCTGGCTAGAAGTAAAACGAAAGCTGGAGTTACTGGTCCCTGAAATACAAATTATTGCAATTGAAAAAGGGCAGTATATTTCTTAATATTTTTAAGATGTTATCTTGGTCGATTCTTTACCTAGTGCTTTCAGAAGTTTACAATTAGATATTTCATTAGTTGCCATTGAATTTGATACAATAATAATTACATATTATTAGGTCTTCACCAAACTTGGAGCATTTTTTTTTTAATAAATCCTTACTAATTCATAATAAGTACCTTATGACTGATTTCTATCACACCAGGTACAACAAAATATGTGTAATATTTAATTAACTAATTTTAAATAATATTTATCATTTTATATACAATGGTTTCCTATGACGATTAATCTACATTAGGTGAAATGTTAACTGCTCTAATCGAATACTAAAAATCAGAAATTAAATAATGCCGTACAAAATACATAAAAAGAGAAATACAACCCACCTCACCCATTCCTTCAATAACTCTTATAATGAATAATCCTACTGCACCTCCAAGATCAACGGCTAGAGGAGTCAGAGCAGTAGCTATAGAAGTACATAACAAACCAATGCCTAGCGTCCATTTTCCTCCAAACTTTTCAGCAAGAATGCCACCTGGAAGGTGTGTCGCAACGTAACCATAGTAAAATGCGCTGAGTAAGAAGCCTTGTGTTGCCTCGCTCCAGTCGTATTTTACGCGACGCTGCAATTTTTTTTCGTATATTAATAGTAATAAAATTGCACTATGTAGTCTCTAAAAATATGTGTGAAAACGTTTGATAAGAAAGCATTACTTCGTCCAATATATGTATGACTGATAAATATTATGGTATCAAGCAAGAAGAGCTTTGTTCTTACAACTAAACTATCGCAGTTATCAAGTTGATCAATTTTCTCAGTACTTTTTACTTCCTCTACTATAGTAACAATTAATATTACTATAGTAAATATACTTTATGAAGTATATTACCACAAATGGTTATGTAAAATAATAACAAAACTTAGACAACATCACATATAATGCTCAAATTCCAAATTTACTAGCTAAATACAAGTGTGTATTATGGAAATCTGAAAAAGGAATAGAAAAAACTTAAACAGCCAACATAAATATTTCTACAAATATCTCAACTTTTGATGTTAATATGTTTGATATTTTTTTTATTAAATTTTGCGTTCTTTATAATATCTTTTTATGTAAGATGATCATTTTCAAGTATTTATCTAAATACTTGAAAATGTTCATCTTACATCATAAAAACGGATAAGGGAATAAGTTATCTGATATTAATAAGCATATTATTTCATCATACCTCAAGTTGAAAAGATGGTATTGTTGTTTCTTCAATAGTATTATTCACTACACCAGCCCAATCAGGATCAGGGCAGGTCTCACCTACTATATGTTCCGATGCCTCTGGGTGTAGCACCATTTGAGTAATCGTCATGGAGAGACACACTCTCATGGTAAAAGAATTTGCGAGTGCAAATAGTCCCAGTATTCCCAATACGTATCGCTGGGGTATGAAGATAACTATAATTAAGAAAAATAATGTTCTCTTCTATAAAACTGTATTTAGTAATTATCACACCCTGTTTGTAACTGCCGTGATATTTGTATACCGCTCGTACACCTGCTCATAAACACACGTACACTACCGGCAAGTAATTTCACAACTCACAACACACCAATAAATCGTATTTGAAGGTGATTGCGAGATTGGCTTACTTTAAAAAAAACGGAGGGGTGTGTAGTTTTCTTGCAAATACTTACAAATTGTAAAAGTTTCTTAATTTATTACAATGAACTTGCCCAAAATAATGCCTGATTTTATTAAAAAATATTCCTGACTCCGACACTGGTAGAATTAAGTTTAGGTAATTAACTATCCAAATTATTTTTCGGATAAAGTTAAAAAAATAATGTTTAATTTTGATTGCCTAAAAGAAACCGCAAGTGACATAGTATTGCTTTACATAATAATGGTGCATAGGACATGTGTATGGGACAGTTTACAAAAACATATAATAAACATAAAGTAAAAAATATATACCTCTAAGTACAAAATTTAATTCAAACAAAATTTGCAAATAAAAGCACACTCATAATAATAAGGAATACAAAGTGAGAATGTTCATGTAGCAAAAGGAAGGAAATGTAAGGAGAGCAGAATCGAAGAAAAGGTGTGTGACGGGTTCGATGCTTGGGCGAATTAATGAAAAGGCTGAATAGCTTATGAATTGATTTATTTTATGGTAATAATAGGTAAAGAAAAGAAATTGTAACAAACAAAAAACGAATATAAAAATTGTTCGTGTGTTTACCTAAATATAAACTAAAATTTTTGGGTTTCCAAATAAAAACTTAGCCGCTATTACAGGATATAATTTTATATATATAATTTATATATATTTTTTAATCATATAGTATAAATAATATAATTATTATAATATTTATACGATTTAAAATAATATTTTCACAACAGAAGATTTGTTTACGTTACTGACATTCATAAAGAGCATATTTGATTAGTCAAAATTTCAAATTACGAAAGATGAATAATAAAAAGAAATGATGTTGAAGATCAATGACAAAAAGTTTGCATGCGGAAACCTAGGATAAAATAAACGATGGTATGGCACACCGTTACAGGTGGATATGGCATGTGAAAGATGATATATATGCCTATGAAAAGAGAGAATGTTAAGATGAGGTGTGATAGATGTATTAATGAAAAATGCATTTTGCACCTATACCAAATACATAGAAAGCACTGTCAGGCTAGGAAGTCACGTTGATTTTTATCAACCTGTACTTTCTAATACAAAGCTTATGATTATAGTTGAAATTCGAATGGATTTTTTTGAAATATTTTATTCGAAAGCAGTACATTCCAAAAACAAATAACAGTTAGATATGAAACTAGGACAGTAAGAATTTCAACATAGTTAATTACCTCTGTTTAATATTCGACGCCATCCTGTCAACATTACTATTATAATCACTGAAACTCTTAAATAAATAAATCACAGCAGCAGTAGGTATACGCTTTTGAAGATGACAGAACACCGAATGACAATTCAAAGATTACATACAGTAGGTGCACGCGAATCACTCGTTTCATAACATAACAACTTCATGAAACATAACCAAGTAATTGTTCTTATAAGAAAGTTCACTAATATTATAATATAAAACCCTTACGCAAAATTAGATTTCGACTGTTGGTTTTACTTACATGTTGTATCAAGTATATTTGGAAGCCAGTTTTGCAAGCTTGTTTTCGATGAAGCATTGAGTGATGTTGAAATAACATGCCTATATTTGAAGGTTTGTTTATAAGGCCCTTCAATATTTTTGTACACATAATTAAGAACATAATTTTCTCAAAAAAAAAACACTATTCTCAATTTTGATAATGATTCCAAAATCTCTTCTACATCATAAAATAAAAAAAAATTATACATACTCAATATTCATGCTCAAAGATCTTTTGAAGAATGCTAGTAAACCAGCAAATGAGATAACGTTGGATTCTGTGAGTATCCTCGGATAAAGGTAACAGATAATATAGATATGAAGTGTTGTCAAACTTTTGAAGATTATCTTTAATAATATAAAGAAAGTATTATGTCAGATTAGCGACTGATTATAACATTTACCTATATTATATAGGCCTTACTTATAAGCAATGTATAAGCGTAAATGCAGTATTTTGTCTTTTTCACACGCACTAAATGTCACATTGTAATGTAGTGAACAGAGCTATGCTAGCCCAATGCGAAGCTCGGGAGTAGTTCAACATCATATTTTTTTGCTCTACCATCCCGTACCCGACACTTGAGAAAGTTGATAAGCAACAACGATCGCGAGCCGCGGCGCTTATCTACGCCACCGAGCTTCTCTATTATATGTTAAAAAAAATATATTTATTTTAACTTAATAAAAATCATACGAAATATTCATATATTACACTTAGATGACATGTTTATACCATAAGATTGTTCTTATGATATAAACATGTCATCTAAATGTTTATGTTATTTGGCCATATATGTATAAAGTTTAAAATATTCACCTTATTCAAAATTCTTTTAGCGTCAAATGGGCATAAGCTAAAAAATATATTGGCCATTCATTACCATTCTTTAATAAAATAGTTCTTTTTAGTAGCAATGAAACAGCCATGTCATATATTCTTATAGATGGAGTAAAGCCACAGTAGCTTAAATACGCTTTTGCATTGGTTGGCAAGGCCCACCCGCTTGCTCTTTAGAATTGTGCGAAAGATTCCTGTAGTGCTACAGAAGCAGCTGTCCCGTCTGCAGAAGAAAGCTCCACATTACCTCATTGGCCCATAGAGAAATGTGATAACCAGTTATTCATTGTCCTTCGTCGCAAAAAAGGAAAAATCCCGCGGGTTATCCTAAGTCATAATTTCGGGGATTGCCCACATTATTTTTTTTTCTCGTAGGGCTCGTGCTTTATCCACTGTCCCCGTCGTTTGACAGGCGGCATGGGGTGTGTGGGATTGTCTATCCACACCCACTAAACGCCATGCACCCTGTTTTTTTTTGTGTTGTTAGGAGTGCTCCATACCCAGCTCCGTAGGGATTGCCCACATGTTAAAAATTAAAACTCAGAACCTTTCGCAATGCGGGTGACTGCTTTAACTGTTGTGGTGGATAAGCGCTGCGGTCCGCGATCGTTGCTGTTAAAGAAGCTCGTAAGGGTCGGCCAGAGGATGGGTGATCAAAAAAAAATTATTTCGAGCTACTCCGTTCTTCGGAAGATATGTTAAACCGTTGGTCCTGGCTGCATTTGTAGTCGTTATTACTCTGTATGCCTGAGCCCCTGTAGTGAAGAAGTAAAGACTTATAAAGATCTTATTTCATTGAAGCTCTTTGGTGTGACAACGCTGAGCTCCACGTCGATTTCGAGGCGGTTTTTTAACAGAATAGAATAGGTGTAATGAAGGGTACACGACGATATTAGTAGCATTGGAAGTATGTACAGCTGCTATGATAATTACCTGTTTCATTATTATAACGTAAACAAATATGATTCATACCCACCTAAACGATAATAGTTCTTTTAAAGTATTGATTAAATAAAAATTACATTGTTAGAAGTAGCCGTAATTACATCATATATAACTTTACCCGTTCGAGCCTTGTAAGTTACAATTGCGTAGACTATTTATGTGACTGTACCAGAGTTAATTTCGATCGAAACAATAGTTTTGGAGGAAATCAGGAGTTACAGTCCACTGTGCAAAATTGTCTCACGAGATGAGGGTTCTCATTTTCGATCCGGACCGTATTCCTATTATAAACTGATTTTAATGAATCTATTTTGTTGTAAAGAGGATATTCCCAAGGGCGGTCACAAAAAATATTCCTAAAATAAAAATGGTAGTGTTATGAACTCGATTACCTAATTAAAGACCAACAATAAATCCGGTAGCTCGGTAGCGTAGTGGATAAATGACCCGTGATCGCTATTGTTAAGCAACTTTCGCTAGTCTGTCGCGGGATGGGTGACCAGAAAATTATTATCTCGAGCTACTCTGTACTTCGGAAGGCACGTTAAGCAGTTGGTCCCGGTTGCGTCTGCAGTTGTTAACACCCTCCAATCCGCATTGGGCCCACGTGCATGGTTAGGCCCTTCGTCCTTAACCATCCATAAGAAAGGCCTAAGCCACTGCAGTGGGGACGTAATAGGGCTGATGATGAATAAGTCCACACTTCGTGCTTTACTATCTTATCGGCCAAAAGACGTCCAGGACGAGTCCTGAAAGAGTTAAAAAAATATTGGGCGATCGAATAAATATTTTTATTTTTTTATAAATTTATACTAAATCAGTGTATATATAGTAAAAAAAATAAACAAATAAGTACATTTGTTTATTTTTTTTATATAAACTTGTAAATAATTGAGGAACAAGCTATTTTACATAAAATGCCTGACTGACTGATCAATCGACTACATCTCAAATGGCTTAATTGGTTAACTAAACGTTTGTTAGTAATAAAAGTTTTCTAATCTCTTAATTCCTAACTACTCGAAACGAAACTACAATTTTCTTGAATGTAACGGTTATGGAAATAAAAATTAAACAACCCTTTTCATTATTTGGTTTTACTTCACTTAAATTAGATTTTATCACAATAAGTTACCTTACATCTATCTTAAAACTATTCACAGTCAATTATATCTTTTCTTTCTTTTCATTTTTTTGACCTTCCTCATCCGGTGTTCTTTGACGTAGCGGTCCGTGACTCCAGTTGGTGGGGTAGCCATGCTTATTGACGTCATCCCACCATAACTGATCTCCTTTGGCGAACATGAGATAGATGACGTTTGTCACCACTAATACTCCGAGACATACCCAGAAAGCTATCCGCCATTGTGCCAATGTTGACTGGGGAAAAAACATAAATAATCAACATCACCGGATTTTAGTGTCGTCACTGCTGGGGCTTAGGCCTTCCTGTATGGAATCGAATAGGGAGATTGAGCCAAGACCCACCACGCGGGCTTTGTCCAATTTCAATAAACTTGGACGTCAGATTTTTTTATTGCTCGCAAATTACGATTATTGTAAAAGATGTGCACATAAGCTTCGGCTAAAAAGTAATGCAGATTTATAATTTATTATTATAATTTATAGGAATGAAACAAATATGGGTAACTTTGCGATTTCTTTCTATCAAGAAAAATTTGTAAAATTACGTATATTCTGAGCACAACCTTTGAAACTATTATATAGTTTTCTCAGTATTAATTTAATTTAAGCTTATTCGGACGTCCTTTTAGCTATAAGCACCTTTTTAATCTAATCGAGTTGAAACAGAAAAAAGCAACAAAAAAGTTCGCACTCTTTTTGCATACGTATGTGATGATAAATATTCATCGGAACCCGAGTTCCAATAAGTATTTACGTTGCGCTACTTAAATAATGGCAGAATAATATTGTTGGCTACTCTATTAACAGCAATAATAGCCATGAAATATTGGGAATGAAACCATTGTTTTCTTAGGGACGCTTATCTCTATTATTTTATCTGAAAGGAAAATCATTATTGGGGCTTTTCCATAACAATGGACCGCGACAATGTATCAATTATTATCAATTTTTACAACGTCAACATAATTCCTATTCACTCAACAAAATAAATAAATAAAACTCGAACCACTATCTATGATAACCTATGCTAATGTTATAGAATAGATTGATATTAGACGTGAGTTTTAGACTTTACACATACCTTTGCTATAACAATAGACATTTAACATACTTTTTACATTTATGTCCTTACTAATAAACAATTTTGTAACTGTTGTTAAGCTACGCATAGACTTGTTTGCATCATAAGTAACTTAAAGTTTAATTGAAAAAGATAAGTCGCTGTATAACTAATAAGCGCTTACACGTCTTATAAATGTAAGGTCTATAGCACCTCATGTAAGTTTTTCAACTGATAAATGTATTCTCAAAGCTAGAAATGATATATTTATGATTTATTTATATACTATTAGCATCGGTTTATCAGTGAAATCATAATTAATTTAAAAGATTTTGTTAATTTACGGTATTTATTCATTGAAGCTCTTACTCTCACAGATATAATCTATACTAATATTATAAAGCTGAAGAGTTTGTTTGTTTGTTTGTTTGTTTGAACGCGCTAATCTCAGGAACTACTGGTTTGAATTGAAAAATTATTTTTGTGTTGAATAGACCATTTATCGAAGAAGGCTTTAGGCTATATAACATCACGCTGCAACTATTAGGAGCGAAGAAACAATGGAAAACGAGGACGAAGTCGCTGGCGACCACTAGTTAATAATAAAAAAAAAATAGGTACTTACGTCCGGCGTTACTAGGCCAATCAAATATGGTGTTATGATGGCAGAAATAGCGGCGATACCATTCACCATGGCTGTGGTAGTACCAGCATAGTTAGGGGTAATGTCTAAAGGATTAATCTTCATTCCACTGTAATAGGCACCCATAAGAGTCATGGCGAAAATGAACCAGAAAACAGCAAGCGTTTTATCACAGCCGGAGTATGATGCCATGATGATACAAATACCAGGACCAGTGGCAGCTAAAATAATACAAAGATTGTTAAGAAACAAACTGACACTTACTCATTATTTTCTTAATAGATTCGCGAGCTCAATTCTTTTAGCAAAAGTATAAAAAAAATTGAGTAATGATCAAAACCACTCAATATTAAGCATACATGAATGCTAATTGATATTCTAAAAATAATACTGCTCATATTTAAAACAAAATATTTCGTTTTTGGAGCATAGGCATCATTTGTGTATCGCTACACCGATTTGGCTAATTTGGTTACCAAATTTTCTTAACAGTCTAACAGCCAGTTGCACAAATGTCCATAATATTCTCATTAGTTTAAAGCGATTTTACTGATACGAATTTTCAAAATTAGAACATTTATAAGAGGTTAACGTCGTCATCATTCCTTAACGGACGTTTGTGCAACTGGGTGTAAACTAAAATAAGAAAATGACATAAAAAAATTGAGGAATTCGCAAAAAAATAAAATGATGAATCTATTAGAATTGACAGAATAACGTCTGATGGTTAAATAAATTTGAAATAATAACGACCATATATATAATCGTTTTTCGTGTCAATTAATAATATTATATTACTTGAGCCTAAATATTATTATAAATGAAATCAATAGTGACAAATATGTTTGTTGATTTGTAATCAAGTATAAAATAAATTTCCTACGCGAAAATATAATAGTATATTCGTTATAAGCACAGCAACAATAAGGTTCCCTACATCAAGCAAAAGTGCGAGTCGGACTCGAACACGAAGGGTTCCGTCTTATCCATTAAAATAAACAAAGAAAAATCCCGTTTGTTGTTTTCTATGGAGTTGTTCGGAATTTACGAGTTAAATGCAATCGGTCGACTATTTCTGGTAAACTTGTAAAGCCAACTTAAGTGTGATAGTTTTCTTTTTAACTTCGTCATATATAGGTTCTACTGCCGTAACGTTTGAATTTTTCAGCGACCGTTAAGTTGATAGAGGGGGACACCCTATAACGAAAATTGGCTCTTTAAAGCTTAATAGTTACAAATAGTTGATTAAATCGAAAAACGACCTTCCCATAGCCCCATTATTTTTAGCGGACCTATCTCACGATGCCCCTCACTATGGGGAAGACGAAAAAAAAGTGATCATACCCACTTTACATGTAGGTGAGGTACCCTAAAACATTTTATTTTCAGAAATTTTACTTTACCACTTTGTCGGCGTAATTAACGTACCGTAACGTATAACTGACGGATGGATAGACGGACATTGCAAAACTATGAGAGTTCCTTGTTTACTGCGGAGCTCTAAAACTGGTTTAAAGCACGATGTCCATTAAAGCTATTACTTACCGATTGTTGTATAGATTTTCCTTGCATTTTGAATAGAATGGTATTTTCTTTTGACGCAGAAGTCGCATACGAGCCCGAATAAGAAGGAGGCGATCCACATAGCAACGTATGGAAGAGCGGATAGGATACCGGTGGACTTTATGTTGAATTTGAGGACATCCGTCATATATTTCGGAAGGTCTGTTACCATTGTGAAATATCCCCAGTCGTGGCCAATCTGAAAACGATCATATTTTGGTTTCGTTCACAGATATTACTCATTAATATTTTGCATAAGTTTATTAGTTTATATTTGGGAATTTTCTACAGTTTTGAATTATTTATGCAATCGTTATCTAGCGGCTTTGACACTAGAAATAGTGTACTAGTATTAGAATTATTTCATAATAGCTTAATTCTTGATTTTTTTTTATAAATATTAAAACTGATAAAGCTTGTAAAATTCATTCAACTAGTAGTTAATAAATGTTTTAATACCCAACCTTCTAAAAATATAGATAATTTGTTCATCAAACAACCTATTTTATACTTACACCAGCTATAATTAAAGCCCAGAGTGGCACAGAACGGAGTAAAGCCTTCCACGGAATCGGATCCATTTTTGCTTGCTTAGTACCTTGAAGTGAATCCACGTTTTCATTCAAGAATTTCTTCTCACTGTCTGAAATATAAGGATGGGTGTTCGGCGTACTGAAGCATAAAACGGTCTGAAAAATGAATCAAATTAGAATACAATTCATGCCTTTAATTGATTTTAAACTAATTGAAAATTGCTCGATAACTGATATAAACCTTGAAAACTATAGTCGAGTTGTACGAAGTCAGTTATCAGGTCCGGTTAGTCAGGGTACCGGTCAGAAACAATATTCCTACCTTCTTATATTCTGGGTTATGTAGTTCTAGGTATTTGTGTTTTATTATTTTATAATACACCGGCTTGAGTTGCTTAATTTGGAATATGTGATGTTGTTCAAAACATCAAAGAAAAATCTGTTAATATTTATCTTACCCATAATGCGAACCAAACGAGACCGCAGGCTCCGAATAAATAGAAAACATCCTCCCAGCTTCCTTCGTGCAGGATAAGGCCTGAGACGTAGGATCCAACTATGTTACCAATCTGAGCGCCTCCGAATACAATGGCGCCGAATCTCGCTCGTTCAGCCTTGGGCGCCCATCGTGACAGCATTGCCATCAATCCAGGCATCGTCGGACCCTTAAATATTATGTTTATTAATAAAATAGTTTATGGACATTCGAATATCTTACTGCTTTAGTCATTTATAATATTATTCTCCAAATATTTGTATAAAATAATGAGATTTATACAGAAGCTGATTTTATCCTGTAACGCTTATATCTTAAAACCAATTTTCGATATTTTGCAAACTTCATGATCTGTCCCACTCGACTGCATTGAAAAAGCGCAAATTAGAGCAGAACAGATGACAAGACAGTCACAACTTTAACAAATGTCGATTTTAAGAGTGCAAACCATGAGTAGATTCTTTACGTTAAGCTTTTGATCCGGAATGTATGTACAGTCTCACCAAATTGCATTGGACCTGCATGTTTTGATCCCATCCCTGTACAGGGAGAACAAATTATGGAGAAGACCTGTAGCCTTATAATGGGGATGTTAATAAGCACAAGAATGCTAATCTTTAATTTTGTAAGAGAAAATAAACAGCACATTTACATCTTCTTCAATTGCTTTAAACAAAATCTAACATAAAGTTTCTATAGTTCATGCCCCGTAAAAGACTTTTGAGTTATTGACTGGCTGATGTTGATGTAGAAAACTCACCTCTCCAAAACCTTCGATAACTCTCAGAATGAACAATGCCGGTGCACCTCCCATTTTAACGGTGACTGGCGTTATGATCGTACATATGGCAGTAGATAACAGTCCAAAACCAAGAATCCATTTCCCACCATATCTTTCCGCAAGCATGCCTCCAGGGATATGAGTCAAAACATATCCGTAGTAGAAAGAACCAAGGATTAATCCTTGGGTCGCTTCACTCCATTCAAATAAAACTGGCTGTAAAAAATATAAACCAATTTTAATCAAGCTATACATCTGATCAATTTTGCATTCATAATGCTATACCGAAAAATATTCTTAATGAAAAAATGCTTGGCAAAAAAAAATCTTGTTGAAAAATCCTATTGGATTTTTAAGATTTTTTGCATTAAGGACAAGATATACACCTATTTACTACATCTGATCCCAGTGAAGCATTTGTCTTTTGATAAAGTGATAAGGAATATGGAGCTTATCCACTCTAAATATATCTACTAAATTGTAAGGGTCGGAAAATAATACAAAACGTCTAATGCGAGCAGTTGATATATCAAAAATATACAGACAGTAGGTTAATCTGCGTCAAATGCTCCACCGTTGAAGCCAATTATAGAAACCAAAGATCTCCTGCGAACTATAGGGTCATTAACCATGCCAGTGTGCTCTCAGAACACATCGTTGCACTGGACATCGAGCACGTAATCATCCTACTCAATTTAGGATCAATACAAACATACTTCTCGCATTTAGGTCGAGTGGCAGTAACGGAAAATAGTCCTTAAGTGATACAAGGTTAGACAACACGTCCGTCGTATAGATTAAGATTTGGTGATGAGTAGAGTCATGTAGATAAATCTAGTGCAGATGGTAAATAATCTATAAGTTATTAAATAATTTTTCAAACACGAGAGTGTTAACTTCTGTCCTTAATACCTCTTCGAGCACATGAGACACCAAATGTCCTTAAATTTATAATGAACATAGGTTCATAATAGTTGCCTCATATTTCTTTACATTTTCCAGAAATTTTAACCAGTAATATTTGCACGCATTACCGATGATATGATGCATCGATCACTATATGAGCCTAATAGATCAATCGTAAACGGTAGTAAGTACTACTAATACTAAAAGGAACGACAGAGTTCATGGCCAAAATCAAGTAGTTGTAAAATTACACTCAAGCCACTCGCATCCAAACCCGAATCAAATAATTAGAAATATATATTATACCTTATTGACTATTGTATACTTCACTTCGCAAGTTGGCAAAAAACATAAATTTTTAATTGTCATTAATTGTTACAAATATGTACCAGTACAAAATAACAGTATAAGTTATATTTGACAAAAGAATAAATTAATATAATAATAGCGCCACCTAGAGATTGTACCTTAAGAATTACGGAGCTTTGTTCCGCTTCAAGAACCTTATGTCATTTAACGGTTGGGCAGCGACATCGACGGTATCGCCTAACGAGATTTATAAATACTTTGATGATGTACACCAAACCCTATCGGACTTGGAGACTCGGAACGATTTCTAGAAAATTCATGCCTATGAATCGCTGCTATCTTATACAGCAGCCAGCTATGATGCCAATCGTCTGATTGTTTGGAATTCGCTTTTGCGACTAGTTTGGCATCTCGCACATAAGGTCACGAAAATGCTATTTGAATAACAACCATAAGATAAAAATGCTCATTGCGATAACATAAGCTCAAAGTTGTTAAATTTAATTCATTTATTTTCAACAAACATTTACATTTCTGCTACTACAATAGACAAGGCTTATTGCAATTAACATTACATTACTCTGTCAAGCTTAACATTTTATTATGAACGATATTCTTATTTATTTCCGTGTAAGTCGTATATTAAATAGACGTCAAAAATTAATAATATTTGCTCATAATGATAAAAATCATTTTCTTTATAATATACCTTAGAAGGAAAAACTGTGAAGTTAGACTCATGCATCTATGGTTCCAAACAAATATGGAATTTTAAAGTATATAGACTTAAAATAGGTTGTTATGTAATCTTATGGATCAGGTGGACAGGTTTTAGCCTTTTTTAAGATTATGACTTTGGTTTGGCAGACGTAACGACGTAGTAAGTTTTGCCATAATCCAATTTTTTAAATTTGTTCACGATAAAGTAATAATATGTCTGCCTATGCCTGAATTAGACCGCCTGGAATTGCCAATTGGGCAAAAAGTTGGCAGTAGGCAAAAACAGGTCTTCTGCCCTATTACCGATCAGGGATTTTAGTTATAAGAGATCAGGGGCAGTCATTTTTTTCAATTACGAAGATCATGTTGTCCGTCCCTTCATCAGTCCATCTGTTTGTTCAACTGTCACCAGGTTTTATCTAATGAACTATGATAGGTTAGACAGTTGAAATTTTCACAAATAATGTATTGTCTGTTGCCGAAATAATAATCAATACTAAAAAAACAGATTCATTTAAATATTTAAGGCTCCCACAAAACAAACTTTTTTTAAAGTTTTTTATTGATAATGGTTATTATGATTTAATATTTCCACGCGCGCGAGTCGAACTCAAACTTGGCTTGTTTTATTTCATTTAAGTTGGTTGCGTTAGTAAAACTTTTTTCCACAGCCTAATATTTTTCCCTCGCCCATTCGGAACTTTCTTCTAATTTTTTGCACCTCCTTTTTTAATTAATTGACTAAATAAAAACCAATTTGTTATAACAATACGTCATGTCATAACAATACTATCTTCATCAGTTTGTAAACACACAATTCTACTAACTATGAAGTGGCAATGCTTATTCAGGCTTTAGATAATGATACCGCAATGTTTCAAGCCCATGTGAAGTACTTAGATAATAATTTTAAAACCCACAATACCTAAATCTAAACATTTGAAATTTATTCCTTAACTTACTTAGGGATTACGCATATTTTTGGAAAATGTTTTTAATTGACCATTTACATCCATATATAACTGCTAAAAAATACCCGGCAACGAAAAACTAACATTTTATAACATTTATAATGGATGAAAATAAATAATAGCTACAAGCAGTTTAAACACCGGAATTTTTGGCGCGTATGTCGTGACGTTAAAATACACGACTAGAGATATGACATTTTAAATCAATATGGATTTTGAGTGATTGATTATTATTCAATAACCCAAATCGAATAGCAACTAATCGATTTTTTAAGTGAAATAGACTTTCTTAATAACTCATATAGTTTAACAAATTAGTGAAATAAAAATAAAAGCCTAAAACATCATTTAAATTGTAATCTGTTGTTTCCCTATATGTGTACATTTTCGTCACATCCGCTCTGACAAGTAGCATGGCGTTTGAATATTTTGAAGTTACCACATTTTTTTTCGGCCTTTTTAATAATTATTTTCAAGACGAAAACGACCTAATCTTGAAAAATATTAACATAGTCTTTATTCTAAAGCAATAATGATCGTAATAAAATATATTTGAGCCTTTTTTTAATTAAACACATATAATTGACTAGGTACTTATTTTTATATTTTATTTTAGCAATATTATCTTACGATTTATAATCTGTGGTTATTGACCCTAAATGCGAGCAGCCATGACGGAGCATCGTGTGACGTCACATTTCTATAAACTAAATTTCAAAGTCTATGTTGCGAGTGCAACCAGAATGATTATATTTATGTGACGTCACGGCTCAAAATATAGGGTAACTGATTGTTTTAATCAACAAAAAATTGTTTTTCCCTTATTAAAAATTGTTTTTCTATTATTTATGTCTGATTGTATATTATGTAGAAGAAGAATGTCATTAAAAAATTTCCTGTACGTGAGCGTTTAAAAATAGAAAAAATGATGCAAAACTTTTTTGTATAGTATCAGTAGTTCCCCTTACCAAAAACATACCATCGAGGAAAAAATAAAGAGGAAACTCTACCTAAAAATAACTCCGATCGATTATCGGAACTTTATAAAATAAATATTGACAAATATTACGGCCATCCTGGGTAACAACAATTTAAAACTTATTAATTTTTAAAACGATAAATTAGTTGGACAAGTCACTGACCAAAATACAAGTATTTTATAATGGTATTTTTTACATTGTTGGATTATTTACTACCTTTCGCAGTTTTTAGTTATGTTAGATTTTGAATAACGTTATGAACTTTCTTTATTTATGTTATTAAATATTTATGTGGGTTACACAGTAAGATTATTTTCACCTAATCGAATATATTTCTACACATAACATACCTCATTTTTATATATATCTACGCTGCTGTTTGAAGGTGTCGCAGCCACCGTCATATCTGGACAAGCGTCGGGATCGAAGTGGCCATCCTCACCAGAGGAACCCTTCCTAACCATCTGTGTGATGGCGAGGTTCAAGCAGACCCTCATTGTGTAAGCATTGGCAACCGCCAGCAACGCCATGATAGCCATGACGTAGCGTTGCGGAATTATGAATACTGTAAAAAATATCGATTTGGCAATTGAAAGTCAAATAAAAAATTATCGACGTTTAGACAATTCTCATAAACAGCTGAACTAAATATTAATAACTAGTTTTGCTTAAATATAACTCTTCTTCGTAAATCACTCTGTATATTTATGAAAACTTGTATGGTTTCGAAAATCTTAAACAACAGGTAGATACTTATAATACCGGTTATTAGACGCCATTTTTCTCGTCTTCTCGTGACCGCGGCCGGTGCAACCCGGTCGAAACGTTGGCTCAGTTCAGTGAAAAATCGACCCTAATACTCGTACCCGGTATTATAAGTATTTAATAATGCTGCACGATAGTTTAAAATTGAAAACAGGTATATAGTACAATTGTTAAATGCAAATACTATAAACTCAGTTTAGTTGAGCTGTTATTAAGTAAAAATTAGCAAAATTGGCGCACTAGATTACGATAGGTTCAAATCACATCTCAAGCACTGGTAAACCTTAAGCACTTTTCTTAGAATTAAATATATGTTTAGCATTCATCACAATCATCATCGCACACAGTCTATTATTGTCGCCACTGCTGGGGCTCAGGCCGTCCACCAATAAGGAGAATGGAGTATGACCCAGTCCAGTGCGGAATGGATTGGATTGGAACCAGCCGTATCGCTGACTGAGTGCGCTAACCACTGCTCAGTATAACATTGAGAATGAAACATTTATCAATAAGGCACCAAAAAAAATAACTGCTTCGATTTTCAGATAATCCCCCATTATGAAAATACGCTCACTAATAGCGAACGAGGAATGCTTGAGAAATACGCCAGTTTCGCTGTTTGTATTTATTATTTTTTAAGATGGTGTAATTGATAAATAAGTAAATCATAATATTGCTCAGGTTGCAAGTAGCTAAAGCGTTAGTATTTAAGTAATTGGATATAATTGAAAGATTCGATATAAATTCGACATAAGGGGGAACGAATATTCGTCGATTGCTTTGTTATATATTCGGAGTATAAACTATACAAGGCTATTTATTCTGTTATAAAAACAGCCTCGAACTCAACGTCGAACACAGCGCTGACACGGCATAGAAGTTCAATCAAATAAAAAATACTTAAAAAGGTAATAAATTTTTTATTTCATTGAAATTTTATACCTTTAACCGCTGCACTTGACGTTTAGTTCAATTCTTTTTTTAGAGAATAATATAGCTGATAGTAACACAGCTGTACAGTAACACAGTGTACACCTTAAGTTCGATAATTTATCACATTATAGAAATTAGTTAATATTTTATATTTGGTAGTACGAGGAGCTCGATGGCTCATGATAAGCGCGCTCGGTCTGCGATATGGTTGTCAATCACCTTTTGCAATAGCTGGTAATAGGATTAGTGACCAAAAATTTTCAAGCAGTTCCTTGCTTCTGAAGACACGTTAAACCATCTGCATCTGGTGGTTTAACGTGTCTTCAGGCTGCATCTGTGGTTTTTAACACCAACCAATCAGCACTGAGCCCGCGGGTGGTTCTCTGACCATTCTCCCTAGTCGATCTAATTCGATTTTATGTACAGTAAGGCCTGAGCCCTATTGATAGCCTTTTAATGATGATAATTTTATATTATTTCAACTAAAACCGTCTTGTTATTATTATATTACGAAACCGCTAAATATTAAATTCATTGAAAAATATTGTTAATGAGAAACGCTTACACAGTAGGGGTATTACTGTTATTAGGGGCTTTACGCGACCCCGTTATGCGCGGTTTCACTATACTCCGAAACTCAAAGCTGCTAAAGGTCGACTAACACTTCTGCTGGGGGGTAATGCCACTGGTGATTTGAAACTGAGACTTTTACTAGTGTACCATCCAGAAACACCCCGTGCAATGCGAGGCACAGACAAGACAAGTCTACCAGTTGTGCGGCGATCAAACAGAAAGGCGTGTTTTAAACATATTGCAGAGTATAGATAATAATGATGTCGTGTCTTATCTGTGTGTCAAACAATTAAAAACAGTGGTGACTGTTATGAACGTATTTTACAAGAAGGTAAAAAAATACGCTACCAAAAAGACAATAGATGTATTTTTCCGTAAAAAAATAATTAATAGTATCTAAAAAAAACTTAATGCAATACGCATTAAGTTTTTTTTATTAAATTTGAACTATTTTTAATCATAAACCTCGATATACGCGAATTTTAGTTAACGCGATTTTTTCCAGAACGTAACCCTCGCGTAAAGCGGGGCGTTACTGTATAATCTACCTTGTCCCTGGCACTCCGAAATGGGACTCGAATCCATGACCTTTCCCAAACCCAAAGTGTCAGGGAGAAAAAGGAATTTTCAAGCATTTTTTCACTAAGATTTGTTATTAAAAATATTTTTCAGTATAGCATTGCTTTTAATGCAAAACTGATCAAATATAATATTCGATTCATTATTATAAGAAGTTCGTATTTCACTAATGTTATCAATTATATTATTTTTGATGATTTTTTTTTATAGACAATAACGTATTTATACAACCTTAAAGAAATACTTGACGGAAATAATTATGTTGTACATTTTGTTTCTATTTAAACCAGCGACCTTCGAAATTCATTATTATCTCAGTAATTAACACCAAAATCGATATAAATATTTAAAAAAAGTAGAGCACTCACTAAAAAAAAATCAGAAAAAAATCGAATCAGTCACTTAGATCCGATACAAAATTAAAAAAAAAATCCAATAAGGAAGCAAAAGTCAATAACCGAACGCGAATTGAACACAAAACCTTGAATTGTCATCGGCCGACTTTTGATCAAGTCAAAAAACAATGAAGTCCTTATAATATACTCGTATTCCTGGCATCATTGTATTTATTTATTTTTTTACTTTTAAGATCCTTCGCACACAATAGTAAATATTTATATTAACTAGTATCACATTTGAAATAAAACTAGTCCAAATTAAATTCAATCAATCATTTTAAAAATTTTACAATATAAATCAAGTTAAAACTAACAAGATAAAACCATGAGGAACTTCTATCGTTTTTATGCGTTTTAATGAATATAATAATAAAACCACAGTATTGCGATTAGGTATATTACAGTTATGTGATGTTATGAAACACATAAATTAATTTGGACCAGATATAAAAATTAACAGTGTTATTATAAAACAAGGCTTAACGTTGAACTAAATTTAAGCTGAGACTGCATGTAGTATTAACCAAAATTCTTATTGTAAAACAGAGATTTAGTAAAGGTTAACCTAGTACGAGATTATATCCTATTACGAGAGTAATAATCATTCCTAGAAGATAGAAATTATACGGGAGTAATATTCATTCCTATATAATAAGTTTGCTTATTTTCTGTATAATATGAATTCGGAGTAATGCTTAAATTACAATTTTAGCGTAAATTTACTCTGACGCTAAACCTTGTTTATTTATAGCACTGTATATGTTTTTCAAACACTATCCATAAATAACAATCGATTATTATATTATATCAAATTTTTCATTCACAATGGTAAAATGGAAAATATTAACAATGAAATATGCTTAAAAACAATTAATTACTAAAAAAAAACAACAAAAATCTTAAAATGTCTTATCGTTATTCATGGTTTCATTAAATTAGAAAAATAATTTCATTAATGAAACTAATATATAAAAAAACAAAGCATACAAATTACATATTACTTACATTTCGATAGTACGAGTCTCCATCCTGTCAACATTTTGATGTTCCACCTATAAAAAAAAAAACAATTGCAATCGTCTATGTCTAAATTTTACGCTCCCACTAACGTTATCAATTCACAATTCATTTGCGTGTAGCATACTACGAACGTCTGACTGTACTAGCTATTTACGCAAAAGTGCCAAGACTTACGATAACATCTGAAACGTTTAAGGAAAGATCCCAGTAACTGACGACACAGTCTTAAACTCTTCAACTACCGTATCAGTCGAGGTCACTAATCTACCAGTTAGTGGCTTAAACGTGCACACCGAATTTCCTAGTCCTCAAACGAGATATAGTTTTTTTTTTACCACTAAAATGACACCGCGAATTTCATTCCGCTTTTCACTTTAGCTTAATATGATTAGTGTTTCCATTATAAGTGAAAGATTATTTTTTTAATCAGTCAAATAGTTTTGTATCTACTTAAAAAAAAATCTATCGTTTTTATGTTTAAATATGAACGAGATGAGTAAGTAGCTAATTGATTTAAATTTATGTATACACGAGTGCGTAGGTATATATATTTTATAAAAAATAACATGAAATCATTTGACTAATTCTCACTTTTATTGGAATTTTTATTAAGCCTTTCGTTTTTATCATAATGATAAATTATAATAATAATTATTATTACTTTATTATTCATTAAGGAAATTTACATTTATACTATCTGAATCAAACCAATAAAGTAGAAGCCGACAACTGTGTAAATAAATTTCCAAAATATTTCTTGCAATAACACGACGTATGTATTTATTTATTAATTTAGTTATTTGACAAACGATGAAAGAATATTCTGCTATTTAATAAGTGGAAAAGAGGACTTATTTTACTCTTTTAATCAAAAACTACAGAACGAATTTTGATGAAAATTGGCATACTGATAATTCTAAACCTGAATTTTAATATAAAGGTAATTTTTTATCCCACTAATCGGTTCCCTAGAAATAAATAAAAGAAAAAAATCAATTAACTCTAATAAAGTGTAAAATAATATATATGATACTTCTAATGATATCGTGTGGTTAATTAATAACTTTCTCAGTTATGCTACTCTATTAAAAACAGTCTCGAACTCATCCTTGGATGTGCCGCTGTCACGTCATTGAGCTTCAATAATATAAAACATTCGACACAATAATACCTATTGGCGTGAGTTTTATTAGTTTTGTTTCATAGACGTAGGTAATACGATATTTCAATATAGTCATTTACATTATATATAATGTTAGTATAAATTTAATCTGATGGAAAAAGGTAAATATGTTTGTTAATATGTAATGTGAATTTGTTTTGCTGCAGTAGTAATATCGGATTTACTTATTTTTTTTTTTACATAAACATTCATTGTTGACTTGTAAAATCAATCATTATCGTGATTTCTTGACAGCGATCTCGTTAAAAAAACAATAACTT